AGGGAGAGAAACCTGAAGGAGCCCAGGCGTAGGATGGATGGATGGAAAGGAAGGAACAAGCATGAGGCTATGGGCAGGGAGAACATAAGGGAAATGCAAGGAGACAAATATCCCTCGGACAAAGTGAGAACAAAGACCCCGTTTGTACTTACTTCCCCCTGGCTTTGCCATTGGTTACCTAGGTGAAGGTTACATGTAGTGCCACTGCCCCTCCATGCCCATATTCATGCCCATTCCACTCATAGGTCCTAGAGGGAGATAAAAATCCAAGAAGATGCCAGAGAATGAGCAAAGTCAACAGATAGTGCCAAAAGCCCCTTTCCAAAACGCAGCACGGCAGAGGGTCCAGGACCGCTCGAGGGAGAAGATGCCTGGTTTCCCTCAGCGGTGTTGAAGGCAGGCAGAAGACAGGCGAGGCAAGGCAGGCAGCTGAGACGACGGCGGAGGTACGGAGGTGTGGAGGTGCGGGTCCCTGCGGTGGCGCGACCGAGGTCACCCATCGGGGGGGTGGCGCTCCCCTGGGGTCTTACCTGGTGCTCGGATGCCCATGTGCTGCTGGCCGTCCATCACGAAACCTCCCATCGGCTGCCCATCGGGGTTATAGGGCGTTCCTTGACTTACTGGAAAAGCGCAGAACATTGCTCTTTAGCAACAGCCAAAAGGGTCCCCTCTTCTCACAGCGTCAAGACACAACCCCCCGCCCCGGGCCGTGTGAGACGGCTATCGGTGCCGGCTCCCAAAAGAGGGAGAAACCTCTACTGTTCCAATTTAGCACTCGGGCTAACAAGCTCGCTTAGTTTTGGCTTAATTTCCTACTGCGAGTTTGGAAATAAAGTTAGAGGTCCGAAATCTCGAGACACTTGGAGCCCCGGCTCCAGCTGCTGCTGCTGCTGACGTCAATGCAAAGACCTGTATAGGAGCTGGATTTTATGGCTGGAATAGTCACACTGAAATTGCAGTGTGTTAAATTACGCCTGTGTGCCTTTCTGAGAGCACGACTTGAACACATCCGTGCCAGATATTTACCTCTAATGACAAAATAATCGAATGTACTCGAGGAGGAAGCGTGGCCCAAAGGCATTTTGGACAACGACAGATTTGGACAGTTTGGCAGCGAGATTCAGAAGACAAACCCAACTGGGAGTAATGAGCTATTCCTTGATGGTACATACCCACACAGACCTGCGAGCCAAGACCCCAGACAGAACCAGCTTATGAAAACTCAAGACTTTATTTTTTTTAGATCAATCTCCTGAATTAAACCCCAAACGCTTGGCGATCCCCAAAGACAGCTACTAAAAAGAAGAGACAAGGGACAAAAGGACCCTATACGAGTACCACTACCTGAACTCAAGGTTTTAACTGTACATTAAAAGCTGGCTTCAGAAGTAAGCTGCCTTGGGTTATTAAAGCACATAAAGCTCTACCTCATTGAATGTCTTTGAACTTTACTGAGTCCCACAAGCGATTCTGACCCCTTTGCCCTTTTGACAGGTAATAAAGTTTACAGCAATTCCACACCAAGCCATGCACCAGGGAGTGGTCACAGGAGCAGAAAAAGCTGGGAAGGAAAACTCAAAACAAGGGCTAAAAAATATAAAAATAACTTTAATTCCAACCATGTACGTAAAGTCCGGTCACGGAGCAGATAATTTTTGTTTCTTTTTTTTTTTTTTTTAATTTTCAGTTTCTTTTTTCCGCCCAAAATGTTTTAATCACATTAAAATGATTAGGGTTGTAATGAAAGAAAGCTGGTTGTATTTTAATTGTCAATCACTCCCATTTCTCATTTATTTACCAGGTAATGGACCTCCCGGTGAATGGCTTGAGGATGGTTTTTGCCTGCGTGACTTGAATACAGTTACTACTGGGGACTTGCCTGCTCGATTGGACTGGTCTATCATGGGCTGAACTATTCTTCTTCTAGCATTAATAAACCTGCAAGAAAAAAGAGGAAAGCAAACAGTTATTGAAGGGGGTGACTTCCACTCATCCTCAAGACCTCTCACCCCACCGCGGCGCTCTCCATCGGGCTGCACCATGATGCAAATACTGCAAAACCTCTAACCCCGATGACCTTTGAGAGCACGAGCTTGGGGTTTCCGAGCTGATTTATGTTTGCCTGCTTTTTACCACAGTCGGACACTTCCATTTCATCTTTTCATGGGGGAATTAGCCGAGTTTTCAGGAAACAATACCAACAACGCTATTCTCAATTCAGAATGGGGCACAGAAAAAAAAAAAAACACAAACGGGTGAAGCCAGAGAGAAGCTCATGAGGGCATCTGCTACCTCCCCCTCATTAGTGCCATTTCTGCCTTATGTCCTCCGACTTCTTCTTTCCAATTTTTTTTTTTTTTTTTTATCAAAACCTGCCCCTACCTCTTGAAAACCTAATTCCCTTTTAATGCCCACTATTAAGATAATGAACTGTGATGGCAGAACCCCATCAAATGAGGGAACGTCTGGAGTTTTATCACCGCTAAGTCACACTGCTGGGGACTTCAGAGCCATGCATTCCTCCTAGCCATTTCTTGGTGGGCTTTTCTCCCCCCTCTCTCTTTATGCAAAGTCTGAGGGGTCAAGGCGAGGTCATAGCTTTACAGTAATTGAATTTATAATCCTGTTTTCTCCAGCTAGGCCTGACCATTTACAGCAAACATCTTGTTAAACTGTAATTACTGGACTACTGAAAATTCCCCCTGAACAATGAAAAGCAGATCTTTGGAAATAAAAAAAAAGGTACAGTCATTTTTAAAAATAGCCATCTGCAAATGTACTCCTTGCATTTTTGTAGCACTTCACCCCAGTTAGTCTTGCAATGCTTATTTGGGAAAGGAATATTCAAAAGAATGCAGAGCAAAACAGAAGGAGGGGGATCACAAGTGCCCCAGTCTCCTCTGCGGGCAGTCCTCATGGCGCTGAAATCAGAAGGCTCAAAACCATGCCTGGGAACCTGCCTGGTGAGCGTTAGAGGAACTTCTTTTGCGGTTTTGCTCATCAGAAAGTTTAGTTAAAAACCATTTGGAAAACATCTCCATTGAGATTTGATCAGAACAAAACCTCATAACCAGGCTTTACATTCTTTACAAGAGACAAAAAGAATAATAAACCTGTGTATGCAACACTATTTATGAGTAAAGGAAGCAGCATGAGCATGGGTAAAACTATACTACACTTGCAAAGTGCAATGGGAAAGTCCACAAAGGGTGACTTGATACTTGTTTTTGTTGCCTTTGCTTGGAGTGGCTTAGCAGGAGTTCTCCTGCCACAGAGATAAAGCCACCAGGACCTTCCCGCGGGAACCCGCTCTGCCCACCCATTCCCTTGCACCAGCAGGGAGAAGAATCACAAACAATCACCCCATGCAGGGTTTTTTTCCCCCTCATCAAAGACCAGCACAGGAATTTCAGTCTCCTCTTATCTCCCATTCCCGACTCACTCCCACTACCCAAACTCCCGCAAAAATTCATCAACGTGTTGAGTCCTAATCAAACCTGTCTTGAGCAAATAGGCTTAAAGGCACCAATCCTGGGTGCTGATCTGGAAACTCCTGTACCTGAACTAGGTCGTGTTTTGTCAGCAACAGTGTTGGATGAATTTTTCTACATATTTCCAATTAAAAAAAAAAAAGAATCTCAACTCCAGTAAACAGTGTTGCAAATCAGTTTATCCTTATCTTGTACAAACCATGAAAATTAGAATCATGTGAGCAGAAGGTTAGACTAATTCTCCTTTCTCATTATAAGCACAGGTGTAGCACAAACACCATGCGAAATAAGCAATTAAAAAAAAATCTGCCTTTTTTTCCCCATTAGCTGCCTTAGCTCCATGACCAATTAGAAAATTGTTTAATATCTGTAATCTGCATTTGCAGAAAGCAGTTTTCACAGTAACTCTCCAAAGTAAAACACCACCACAAAATCCCAGTGCCCCAGACATTTCTCTCTGCAAGGCTCTTGCTCTGGTTACTCCATCCTTCTCCTGCCTAACTGCCAGGACCTGTTACTGCAGCAGGAGGGGAGGGCTTTTGGTCGCCCTGAAACTGGCTATCACAGAAACTTTCATTTGCCAAAAGCTTTTACCCCAAAGAAACCATGAGCAGCATTACGCACACACACTCCAACTTCACAGCCTTTTCTCTTCTCCTCCAAACCACAACTACTTTTAATAAGAAGAGGGGCTTAATAATAAACCATATAGATAGAGTGATAAACTATATAGCTAGAAGTTATCAAAAATCATTCACAAGACGTGCCTACATCAAAACATATTCTCACCTGTTCGCCCCACGGTATCGCTCGGGATACCTGCTTTAAGAACATTTTACACACAGGTACTTAACAGTTCTCTTCTTCCTACACATTCGTGTGTTTTCTGTAAGTAGCAATTCTGCCAAACAGCCCAGTGTTTGGATGTCTTCGGGGGGAATTCAGACGCAAGAACATTTTCCTTCTGGGCAAAGTAATAAAATGACATTCTCGCTCCTCCCACTAGAAGTCAAACGGAGGTCAGCTCCCCATCCTTGTATCTGTTTAAATAAACTGGTCCAGCTGTTTGTTTCCAGGATGCCCTTTAACCTTCTGTCCCATCCTCCCTGCCTTTGTAACAGAACGCTTTACTTTGCATTATAGTAGACTCCAAACCACTATGCATTAAAAAAAAAAAAGAAGAAAGTATTCACTTTCAAGTTTCTTCCTGCATCCCAAACCCGGAATTCATAAGAATCCATCAGATTAAAACTATTAATGTGGCTTGCCTTGAGAGAGCACAATGCAGTTCTGTTACATTTATAAACCACATTTGAGAATTCTTTGCAAGCAAAATTACAAATTAGCTGTTGCTGCAGAAATATAAAGGCATGGGGATAACTTCTTCATACTGTTTTCTTCTTTGATAGAAAGGCCAAGATCTTTCAATCACTCTTGGAATTTCCAAAGCACCAGGCTGATGTAACACCAGCAAAAATGATGGAAGAGAAAAGCTAACAGGAAAAAATCTCACTGGCCCTTTTCCCCTATGCTCGCAATCATCTATCTCAAGAGAAAGAAATCCTAAATCACCCCAATTCTTAAAAGTTCAGAGGAATCAGAACTTAAAAAAGATATCTGCATATTAAGTGCTATTCAAATGTAGTACTGTCAAAATACAACTCAGCATAAAACTTCACAATTAAGACAGACTCATAACCTCACTCATGTGAGTAAAGACTGGCACAGGCTCAAAGGCTTGCATAAAGTATTTTCCCCCATACCAGTGCTCTGTACATTGGTACTTTTTCTCTGATGTGGAAGGGATTTTTTATTATTTTTTTTTTCCCCAGAGAGGAGAATCAATAGCAGCACAAACAACACAAGATCCCTCAGTGTACAAGTTGAAGCCCAAGCAAGGAGAGGTGAGAACTCTGCAAAACAATACTTTGGGTTGCTTTTTTTCCCTTTTAACTCTTGTTTCGTTTCATTTTGTTTTGTTTTCAAGGGAAGGATCTGGCATGGTGGAAACGTTTGAACAGTTGGGCAAACACAGAAGTTTGAAGTATTTATTATTTTTTTTCAAGTTAACGTCTCCTTGCCCTCTTAGATACAGGAGCCTACGCTTTCTGCCGTGTCCCAAAAAGCAAGAAAAACCCGTCTATTCCACCTGCATAACCCTAAAGCGGAGGAGGAAACCCTCTTCTCTCCAATTTGCATTTTACTAGGATGTTTTCTCTTAGGCTTCTCGCCCAGGGTCTGTCTCCAGAGGTCACTGGCAGTCCCCCGGTTGGTGCATGGCCGGTCTCACGGGTGAGATCCAGCCCTGGCCCCAGGGATGCAGCAATCTGCCTCTGCACTCTGACCTTCAGCTTGGCCGCCCTCGCTGCCATGCACAGGTTTTGTTTCTTCTCAGCGAGAGGCGGCATGGCTGGTGATGACAAAAGACTTATTTTAGTTGGAAATTGGCTACAATAATAGCAGCCAGAGAGCAAGGATTTTCGGAGGGTCACCAAACCCTCCGAAAGGCACAGCTCAGTCAGGCTCAGGTTACAGCCCAAGTGACATTTTCAGCACAGATCTGGTCTTTCTCCCTTCCCCTTGTGTTTCACTTCTGTGGAGTGAATAAAGCAAGACCTTCCTCCGCTGTCACAAATTTCCGAAGTCACCTTTGCTCAAGAATCAACCGAGCAATTGTGGGGACTTCCAATTTGCACTCTTTGAAGGAAATTTTCCAGGGCCAGCTGTCTGAAAGGAGATGCAGAGACTTTGCAGTATATTGAATTTTTCTCTCCTGCTAGTCCTCACAAATGAGAAGAGCTTCACACTGTTAGTAACTTTTGATACTTGCAGTCGCAGGCTTCTCCCTCTCATTACTGTCCCGAAGTGCTGCATGCCAAAAGTTTGTGTATCACTAGCAGTGCCAAGAATTCCCCACAACCTCTCTGCTTCATTTTCTCCTTGAGCTCCTTCTAGCAAACCAGGCGTAAGGATGAATAGAAAGCCCACAGTATCTACAAGCCTCAGTGCTAAGGACTCTCCTGCTCTGAAAAAAATAGTATCCCTCTTTGACAACAAACAAATCATCATTTTTATAACAGATGCCAAAGTAACCAGAGCCCTTCAAACTGGCAAATAATTCACTTGTAAAACCAGTCATACTCTCTTCTGCATACTGGGATTCCTTCACTTACACAGCAGCAAAACAACCTCTTCTATTCAGCACTTAATTCCTCAACGCTTAACAGGTTTATCTCTAATAAAAACAATTTAAATGGAAAGTGTGCTATAAACCGGGATTATTACACTTCAGTAACTGCTTTATTCCTTATTTTAACATATTTTCATTTTTTTCCTGTGTGTTTGTTTTCCAGAGCTTTTCAAAGGAGTCACTTAAAGAAAAGAACACCCTGTAGAAATTATTTCACCAAATACATTGAAATGTTTTAAAAATAGCCTTAAAAATAG